TCTGTATCCCATGGGGATTGAGCATAACCTTGGCGTCGAATGTCTGGGTGGCGCCGACAGATATTGTGGCGGTGGTGATTTTTCATTACGGCGACCTGCTTGTCAGCAATGGGAAAAATTGGAAAGAAATGCAAAGTGAAAAGATGATTACAAAAGGCAAGACATACATTCTATAAGGAAAGAAATGCAAAGATGGAAAGAAGAAAGAAGACTATAGAAGGCAAGATTGGTGCTATAGGGAAAGAAATGGAAAGATGGAAAGCGTAAAGAAGATCACAGAAGGCAAGAAGGCAAGAAATGGATCGGTGAGACGGAGTAAAGAAAGAAAAGGAACTGACGGTACAGATCATTTTAGGTGCGAATTGGACGGTTGTAATATGAGAATGGTTTGGGCGGGTTTTTGTTTTTGGTGTTGTAGTGCTATTAAGGAGAGGATTGAAATGCTATATATAAAAAGACATTGATAATTTGTCGTTCATCTAGGGTTAGATTGGCGGGCGGCGCGGTGACTCCTTCACGGCGATCCTGTCCCGAAGGTATTTCAGTGGACAAAGCTTGCGTGGAAGCGCAGCGCGGCGAGCTGCAAGCGGACTGGCGCCTCGGAGAAGACCATCTGGTGAGCACTTCCGCAGCAAAGTTTTGCTGCAGAGTTCTGTAGCAGAGTTTCGCTTTTGGTATTGTAGCTCCGCAACAAGGGTACTTCAATTCCCGTTGAAGAGTTCTGATTTGGTGGTTTTGCAATTCTGTTTTTGTGGCCAGTGGAGTGTGCGATCAAAAAGTTCCTCTGCGCAATTGCATTTAGGACGGATTGTTGGGCAAAGAAACAAGGGATATGGAAGCTGCTCGGTTTCGGATTGGTTGTGTTCGTGCAGTATTTTGGCCAAGAGAGGGAGGCGACTCACGGCAGATCAAAGTGATGAAGGAAGAAGATGAAGCGATGCAAATCCGCCCCCTCCTGAACTGCCGCCATGGAGGAACTGTGCGACTAGATTTTGGAAGACTGCTTTATTATTTATAGTTTTTATTTTCAGTCAAGACTATTTTACTATTTCTATTTTGTTCTTCCTATGACAAACAATAAGGGGGTAGTTTGGTGATTTGGTTTGTTTTAGTTGTTAGATTACTGTTTGGAGGCAATCGGGCTGATTCAGTCTCTAATAGCCTCTATGCTCTCACAGTTTCAGCGATTAGTCTCACTCTTCCTAGGGTGGACTATTCTATGTCTCATCATGACGTGAGGGGGTTAATGGGCTTTGGTTTTGGACGGATAGATGGGGAGTTAGGTCTTGGGATATTGTCATTGTTTCGGATCGTTTGATTTAATATAAGCTTGTTTCCTTTAAAAAAATGTCGTTCATCTCATTCAAATTTAAATATTAATATATTATATGACCAAAAAGTTATATTTATTATATACACACATATGTATGTTGAAGTATGTTTGTACTATGATTTTAAAAAAATATGTATACTTATATATTGAGCGGGGCGGGGTGGGTCCAGGGGTGTAGCCAGGATAGAAGGTTGGGGTGGGCCGGTACAAATATTTTTTTCAAATAAATTTTTACATATAGATTTTTACACTAAAAATACAAAGAATTTTAAAATTTAGGGTGGGTCGGGGCCTGGTTGGCCCCCCTCTACCTCCGCCCATGAGCGGATCAATACTATTATCCGGACCCGTCCCATTGTATGAACGGGGCGGGGTGGACCTGCCCCATTTGCAAGACGGAGTGGGTAAGACCCGCCCCAAATGTCTCGGGCCAGGGCGTGTCATTGCAGGCCGGGTTTTTTGACATGCCTACATTTTCGGACCGATGAATCGGTCCATTTAGGGTTGTGAAGAAATCTCTAGATAAAAAGAAATCTCCATAGCCCATCATGACCATGAAAGAATGTGTCTCAAAGCATACTTCTACTTAATTGGTTAGCGCCACGAACGGTCTCGGAGCACAACAAAAGTTAAATAAACAAAAACAAAAAGCAAAATAGTTGTAGTGATCTGACAAATGATTAGTCACTTTTCAATGTTATTATATACTTTCCCAATTCAAGAAAACTCGATCATGTTGAATTTCTTATTCAATGACGGTCACTTTGACGCAATATACTTTTCATATGAAACTATTAAAAAATATGAAAGTTATATGGAAAAATTCATTTGTTAAAAACACTTTCATACAAATATAAAATTTATAAATTTGATATAAATATAATAGTTAGTTGTCCAAATTTTACCACCATTATATTGACAAAACAAAGTCCATTTGATCAAATTTTGTTGGATAGAGAGTAATTTTATATGCACTTCAGATTTTCATTTTCTCAATAGAAAACATTATCAATTTGTTTAAAGTGTAAATAAAATTAGACTTTAAACAATCAACACATCAATAAGAAGATACAATATTATATGCTTTAAATATATGCTAAATCCCTCGCTCTTATAGTCCCCCACTCCTTGAGGCACGTGTAATAAGGTGAAAAAAGTAGAGTAATGCATATCTTCAATAGGGGGTTGAGGGTCGACACATTTTGATCCACAAAGGGGAGATACCTCGTTAGGAACCTCATAGGAAAAACCTAGTGAGATAAAATTCTAATGAGGGAAAAATAGTACATCGGATGCCCCCAAAATGAAGCAAAATGGGTGAGCCTTCGGTCTAGGTGTGGAGCTGCAACAGTGTCCGTCTGCTGAGGGGATGGCCGAGACCAGTCTCTAGATGTGAGTAGTTCAACATGATAAGCAGTCCCAGTCATCAAATAATGATGACTTTTATCTCAATTTAGAAAATATTAATATCGGTCACATAAATCTACTCTAAAATAATAACCTTATCCTTTTATTACTTCCTCTAAACTAATATTGGAGGTAAAATGTAGCGAAACTAATTATTCACCAGTGCTTATACCGTTGTACCGGTGCATGGTGAGCACCATACACCCTTTGTTATTTTTTATTTCTCATTTTCTTAAAATTGTTAATAATTTTTTTATTTTTGATCTGATTTTTATAAAATTTATACCAAAAATTTTTATTTTTCATGATCTTTCAAATGAGACCAATATTGCCTATGTAATTTTAATTTTTTACATTCATACATTTTTTTGCAATATATTTTTATATGCATACACTTTTTCTATAATATATTTTTTTAATCAGTTTTATATGTTTTAGAGGTTTTTAAGATATTGAGTTTGTTTATTTTGCTTCTAGTTTGGAGTTACATTTGATAATATACGAAGTTACATCATCTTATACTCCAGTTACAAGTTATCATGTGTGAGTTACATCTTGTTACGTGTGAGTTACATCTTGCTATACACGAGTTACATACTTTTATGCGAGAGTTACATATAATTATGTGTGAGTTACATCTTGTTATGTGTGAGTTACATTTTGTTATACACGAGTTACATACTTTTATGCGCGAGTTACATGTAATTATGTGTGAGTTATATCTAATTAATTGTGATTTTTTACTTATCTTTATCTTGAACTAATTCAATTATAACTGAATTAATTTTTTCTTTGCCAATTTAATACAAAATTTTATTAATCCACATAAAATAAGTAAATTGTATTTCATATTCATACACTATTTTTCAAATGATAAAAATGAAAGATGTAGCAGGGGTTTATTTCATGGTGTAACTCACATACATTAAGATGTAACTCGTGTATATTAAGATGTAACTCGCGTACAATAAGATGTAACTCGCGCAGAAGAAGATGTAACTTCATGATATATTATCAAATGTAACTTCAAAATAATTTGTTAAAATTACATAAGCAATATTGGTCTCATTTGATAGATCATGAAAAATAAAAAAAATTGATATAAAATTTATAAAAATCGGATATCAAATAAAAAAGTTATTACAATTTTTAACAATAAAAGAAAAAAAAATAATGAATGCTGCGTCGTTTTGGGATCAGGCGTACCATCCTCATGATGCGCCGATCCCAGGGTATAAATTGCGATTATTCACGCTTCTAAAATAAAGTTGTTAGGATAGTAATGAACTAAAAAGAAACTTAAATTCTAGGTAGGAAAAATATATCCGAGGGACATGAAACAAAAAATATATATATTTACAGGAAATAAAAGTATATTAAACCAAATTAAACGCATAAAACGAGTCGAGTCCATCAAATTGTTTTGGAACAATGAGTACAATGTTATAAATCGATCTTTGGTACAAGAAATGTGAATTTTCTCACAATTATTGATGGATAGATGAATAATTTATCATTGTCATCACCAAAATTTGTAAGAGCGTAAGTGAGATAATTAACCACTAAATCCAACTAGTATAAATAGATCTTTGTTGAAATATTTGAGAAAACCAGTACAAGGAGTAAGAAGATTATTCAAATATTATTCTCTATCTTTTTTTTATCTTTGCATATACAATCAAATTTGTTATATATTACTCTCATATTAAAACATATAAAGAATAACTCAAGGGGAAAGATATGTACTATCATCAATTTGTTGGAATAAATCCGATAATACTTTAATCTTCATATTGAAATTATCTAGAGAAATAACTGAGCGGAAGCGTACCTGACTCCATTGGAGATGATCTTTAGAGATCCGGGAGACAAATGCTAGGGTTTGCGACTTCTAGTTGATACACACCCTTGAGATTATCTCTCTAACGATGGGTTGCAGAAAGACGGAATGACGTGTTCAACTAGGGACCATAGCCCCTCTATTTATAGAAATGTTTAACCCTAATCAGTCCATCATTAATTAGGTTAAACTCATGGGTCTCTAAACATTTGGGCCCTATACCTTATTAGATAACATATTAGCCCACTTAAATTAATATCCATATGACCACTAATTTTTGGGCCTAAATATAAGATAGCATATAACATACAATTAAACTCGATAAATAATATATAGTGAATATTACATGTAGTATAAGTCCAATAATCTAATTTTTGAGCCTAAATATAAGATAACATATAACATACAATTAAACTCGATAAATAATACAAAGTAAATATTAAATGTAGTATAAGTCCAATAATCTAACAGAGTTCATTATTCATTACATATGGAGTGTGAAGTTTCAAATTGGTCATCAAAAACATGGTGTACATGTGAATAAGTAGTAAAACCAAGACTGGCACGATGGCATATAAAAACTATTGAATGAGTAGGCATTGCATATTATATTTATATAGTAATTCAAAAGGGAGTTTTGTCAATAACATTCAACAAAAGTTGGTTGCAACCTAAAAGTGTCCTTAACAACAAAGGTGTCGGGTAAGCGCTACTACAGTAAAGACACTGATGTGGGACTGTCGATTCTGCATGCACGAAATGGGAAATCCTTTCATATCAAACAGAGCCGTGAAATGTGTACGACCCTACTCTACCACTTTACACATTGATGGACCAAAACAATGAGATTATCTTATAGCTAAGCATATTCTTTGAGTCATAACTCTGAGTATGCCCCTTCAGTTAGTTTTGGCACCATTTTCTGTTACTTCTCCCTCTACGTTGTTCACCAAATTATTCTGGTCTTCCATGGCACGAACCTGCTGTGGCTGTTCATTTTTTCCCTCTCCTGCTTCATGCAGCTTGCCACCAACAGCGGTAGCCGGATTGTCAGCTTCACGTGCATCATCATGTTTCTCCGTAGCCTGGTCATCTTCCTTGAAATGCTCATCAACTTTCTTCTCACCCTCAACATTGTCGGCCATTTTGACATCTTCCCCAACATTGGTTTGTTCACCACGAGCAATTTCTTCCTTGGAATCATTTTCAGGACCCCCACCTGTAGAATCATTCTCAGCACTTTCTGCTTCTTTGCCTAAGGCACCCTTATTTTCAGTATTAACATGTTTCGTCATTGCCAGGTCATCACCATCCTCATTTTGAACCACATTTGAACCCTCAGCTGCTTTTTCAACCAAAGGCTCCTTCACAAGCTCTTTGGTGTTCTTCTCATTCTCAGTGTCTTCTGCCATTTTGACATCTTCCCCAACATTGGTTTGTTCAGAAGGAGCAATATCTTCCTTATCATCAGCAGTTAGGGTTTCATGCCTCTTTTCATCTTCATTCTCAGCTTTTTCTTCTTTGTTCTCTTGTGCAATTTTGACATCGTCCTCAAAATAGGTTTGTTGAGCGTTTTCTGCCTTATCATCAGCAGTTAAGGTTTCATGCATCTTTACGTCTTCATTGTCCTCCATCAGATCCATCTTGGACTCTTGGATGTCATCATCCTTATCCTCAGCATCTTTTTCAGGATCCCCAGCTGCAGAATCAATTTCAATCTTTTCTGCTTCATTCTCTTGGGCATCCTCCACCGAAGTTGATGACAATGTGCCTCGTTTGGTAGGCCTTTTACTTTCAGGTGAAGACGGTGGAGAAGCCTTTGCCTTGACACTGATCCTTGCCGATCGCCTAGGGGTTTCACTAGCCCCCCAGTGAAAGTCTGACAGTTTAGGACCACCAGGGTTTGACTTCAGATACTGTCGCAGCTGTGTTTTGCTAGTCAACTCTTCCCCTGTTGGAGCTGTAAACATAACCTCATGTTTTCTTTTCCTCTTCCCTGCTGCTACAGGGATAAGCTGCAAAGAGAGGAAAAAGTAAAAAAAAAACAGCATGAAAGGACATAATTCAATTTACTGGAATTATCAACAAGTTCTTAACTGCTTAAAGGAAACCCTTTAGTAGTGTTATAGGTTACAGGTTACGAACTTCTTAAACAACCCAAAAAATCAAGATCAGAACATTATCACTAATGAATGCTTTAACATCATGTTCCATATCTCATGGAACATATGCATACTTCAAATGAGGAAGAGAAAACTAAAGTAGACATGACTTTGCTGTAACCTTTAAATCAACATCATATATGCTTCAGAAAGCCTAATTAAAATGTACCCAATTTTTGCAAAAAAGTAACAAAGGCATTACAGCTAGTCATAGTCTAAATTTGCCCTGAAAGATGCAGTGGCTAATAAGAAAAAATGGAGAAATAAAAAGGTGTATTGTGTCGCTGATGAAAGTAATAATGATATTTAACAATGAAATGAAGTGCATAGTAAATCGAAAAAAATTATGTTATGGGTGAGATCTATGGCTGAATGCACTTGTTGCTTGTCTTCAAGGTCTAATAAGTAAAAGTAGCCAGCGGACCTCTAATAGAGTACTAGTTCCCCATGAACTTCAACTGAAAGATCTGGTATGCTTTTTTCCAATTCTGAAACTGTGACATGAATAAAAACAAAGAACGACAAGTATGACCATTGTGTTTTTTCGCAATCACTGTGGTTGACCACGTAGTCAATTTTACAGTGCAGCGACAATTGTGGTATTTTTGCAATGACTATAGTGACCATTTAGTCATTTTTTGTCCATGAGTTTTATTTTAGCAATATTCTAGGATAACCCCTATTCAAAATCACACTCTCATCAATGGTTTTGCCTGTGCGGGGATAGAAACTCACCATAAACATAATGTATCAGGATACTAATTAATAAATTCCCTGTCTGGCACATATATTAACCAATCATCATAACAGTATAACAGTAAATTCCCTATCTACTTCTCTTCCTAGTTGTACTACTCAATAACCCATGAACAAACTCTAGTTGCTTGTAAGAACTCAATAACCAAGCACAAACTCTAGTTTCTTGTAAAACATCCTAAATGAACCTCTGTTGTGGGTCACGAGCAGTGTTGGTGATTTTAGTATCACCAGGTTCATTTTAGTGTAATGGAATTTACAGATTACCAATGGAGTTCAAGTTTAATTTTAGACAAGTTAGGAGGTGCGGAGCGCACACTTGTACGAAATTAAATTTAAACTTGGTTCGATTAAATGGCGGGGGTCAAGGGGGCTGCGCCCCCTTGCGGGGTCCAAGGGGCAGCGCCCCTGGCGGGGGTCTCGTTGCCCGGTCAGCGAGCGGGGTCGAGGGAGGCCGCCCTCGCGGGGTTCGGGGCAGCGCCCCGGACCAAAATTTTATTTTATTAAAGAAATAAATATGGAAATTTATTTTCGGATAAACATGTCCATATTAATTATTTAATAGAATGACTTTCTGTTAGAGTAAAACTCTAACCGATTGGCCTTATCTCTTTGGTAATCAGAAGAATTCGAGTTCTACTAAAACTGCTAGTTCGCGGTCTATATATTGGTGCCTCAGTTTTAGACTGTCTCTCAGAGTGATTATCCCCATAATCTAAATTTCGTGTAACCCAGGCATAGGGTCGAAATATTAGATTCGGAAAGTGATCACACGATACTCTGAGAAATCTGCCAGATTTTCTAAAACAGTTTCCCAACTCCCCAGATTTAACAAGCAGTATATGCACAAACTAATTGTAGACAAAAGGTGGGATAACTCCACTAGCTCTTTACTGTGCAGCACATCAGACTCCGCTCATCGTTGAAAAGGATGGAAACACATCTGAAGGATGTCATATACTCCAACTTTTTATTTATGCAAATGAGGAGTGAACCCAAGTAGGTTGTATACTAACACCAACTTAGGAGTTCACAGGAGTGACATTCTAAGTTCTCTAATCTTCTATATTGTTCTAATGTCCTCATAATTTTTTACATAAATATAAAAAGGGCTTAAATAAGTTCTTACTCCCTGCAAATATAGTACTTTTGTTTTAGGTCCCTACGATTTTCGTTTTTGTTTTTCATCCCTGTAATATTTGCTATTTTCTTTTAATTCCCTCTAATAAAAAATAATCTCGATTTAGAAACAATTTGGAGACTAAAAGTGAAAATTATGTGATACTGATCATTCAAGGTTTTGGAATCGGTCTTTATGGTTATCTCAAAATAATTTTTAAGCATTTCTAAAACGACTAGACAAAGAAAGACAAAGAATCTATTAGTCTAATTTTTTTTTGTCAAACAAAGGTTCTAAGATCCATGAGACTGTGAGAGACTAAAAAGAAAAGCAACACAAATTTCAGGAATGAAAAAAAAAGAATAATTTAACAGGGACCTAGAAGTGTAGAACAAAAGACATTGTATTTGCCGTGTTAGGAATATTCTAGAGTAATGAGCTGGTAGAGGCAGTTAGACTAGTTAGTTAGAAGTTGTTATTCATACAAGTCTTGGTTATTGCTTTGTATAAATACCCCTGTAACCTTCTCTCTATCCTTAGGATTGAATCTGTTCATTCTCAGTTTTCTATTCTCCTATCTTTTCTATCATGGTATCACGAGCTTGAGTTCGTATTTTTCTGGCCATGGCGAGTGATAGTACCACTTCGTCATCTTCCGCATCAACTGGAAACTCAGTTTTTTCAGTTGTGTTTGCTCATCCGCTTCATCTAAAGCTTAATTCGAAGAATTTTCTCTTCTGGAAACAGCACGTTGAATCTGTTGTACGTGCGCACAAACTTTTTCATTTTCTGGTTAATCCGAAAATTCCGCCAAAATTCCTCAATCCAAATGATGAACGAAATCAAATCTTCAATGAAGCCTATCTTACCTGGGAACAACAAGATCAAATGCTCTTCGCTTGGCTTTTATCATCTCTTTCCGAGTCGCTCCACGCACGCTGTCATTCACTGCAATCAGTCTCATCAAATTTGGAGTGAAATCCAGAAGTTCTTCACCGCAAATGTTGTCGCGCGTGCTCATCAGCTCAAATCCGAGCTCTACTCTTCCACCAAAGGTGAACGTACAATTTCTGAGTATCTGCGTCACATTCATAATATTATTGATATGCTTGCTGGCATCGGTGAGTCAGTTTCTACGAAGGATCATATTAACATTGTTATTGAAGGATTGCCGGAGGAATACGAGTCTCTTGTCTCATCTATTTCTGGCCGCAGCAAACTAGATCCAGTCACCTTTTCAGAAGTTGAGTCTCTACTTCTTGCGAAGGAGTTGAGGATTCGTAAACTTCATGAAGCATCACAACCTACTATATTCTCTGCAAGTATTGCCAAGTTAGAAGAATCTCAGCCTACTGGTGATTCCGACTCTCATGAATCTCATGGTTCTACATCTGTTCATCTTACTCAGGTTAATTCCTCAAATTCTCATGGTGGAAATGGAGCTTACAGAGGTCGAGGCCGTGGAAATTTCAGAGGAAACTCTAGAGGTGGAGGTCGCTCTGGTCCTCGCTCATCTGTTATTTGTCAAGTATGTAACAAATCAGGACACCATGCTCTAATCTGCTATCATCGTTTTAATCCCAGCTATGTCTCTCAGCAACCAACACCTCAAGGAAACTGGTCCAGACCTCCAACACCTATACCTAATTTTCCTCCTCAACCATCCTATCCTCATCAGTCTGTTCATCCATCTGCACAACACAATCAGAATCAAGGACTACACAACTGGTCTAGTCCCTATGGTAATCAGCCCTCTGCAGCCTGGGCATGTGCAAATACTTCTATTCTCGGACCTATGCCTCAACCTCAGCAAGCTTGGTTCCCTGATTCAGGGGCAACTCATCATGTTACCTCTGATCCTCATAATTTGCAGCACAATGAAGTACCTGCTAACACCTGCTAACTCTGATAAACTTTTTATGGGCAATGGCTCAACAGCTTGGTTTGTAACATTAAGTCTGTTGGCTCAACTTCTTTTCAATCACCCTACAATCCATCTCACTTACTATCTTTAAACAATATTCTTCATGTTCCATCTATCACTAAGAATCTTACAAGTGTCGGTCAATTTGCCAAAGACAATAAAGTTTTCTTTGAATTCTATCCTAATGAATGCAATGTCAAATCACATGTTTCTAAACAAGTTCTCCTGTATGGCACACTTGGCACTGATGGTCTTTACAGATTCCAATCCTTTCCAGACCTTCATCAGTCCAGTGCTACCATGTTCCGGTCTCCTTATGTTTCAACAACAAATAACTCTCTTCAGTTTTCTTGTAATAACCATTACTCAAGTTGTAATAGCACAAGTAGTAATGTATCCAGTTCTAGTCCTACTAGTCCAACTGGTTCTGAGGCTTTCTCTACTTGTAAACTTTGGCATCTTAGGCTTGGTCATCCTCATTTTGAGGCTTTAAAGTCTGTACTCAATCAATGTAAGGTGTCATATCAAAATAAAGCTACAGTTGATTTTTGTTCTGCATGTTGTTTAGGAAAAGCAAAACGTTTACCATCTCACTCATCTGTTACTGAATACTCAGCCCCCTTCCAACTTATCTTCACTGATTTGTGGGGTCCAGCACCTGTAACCTCCTTTGATGGTTATTCATATTACATATCCTTTATTGATGCTTTTAGTAGATACACCTGGATATATTTTCTAAAAGCTAAATCTGATGCTTTCACAACCTTCAAACAATTCTATGAATATGTCAACACTCATTTTTCCTTAACAATCAAATCTACAATCAAATCTGTCCAATCTGACTGGGGAGGGGAATTCAGACCATTCACCAAATTTCTAACTGAAAAATGTATTACTCACAGACTAGCCTGTCCTCATACACATCACCAAAATGGTGTTGTTGAAAGGAAACAACGTACTATTGTTAAAAAATGTCTCACCTTACTTGATCATTCTTCCCTACCCTTCAAGTTTTGGGATGCAGCCTTTGCTACCTCTGTACATCTCATCAAT